GCTGTAGTTGTGGGGGCAACAGTTGTTGGGGCAGCTGTTGTGGGAGTTGCAGTTGTTTGGGCGGCAGTTGTTAGGGCCACAGTTGTGGGGGCAACTGTTGAGGGAGTCGCAGTTGTTGGGGAGGGTGTTGTGAGAGCCGCAGTTGTTGGGGCCATAGTTGTTGGAGCTGCAGTTGTTGGCGAGGCTGTTGTCAGGGCCGCAGTTGTTGCGGCCGCAGTTGTTGCGGCCGCAGTTGTTGGGGCCGCAGTTGTGGGGGCCGCAGTCGTGGGGGCCGCAGTCGTTGGAGCCACCGTCGTTGGAGCCACCGTCGTTGGAGCTGTAGTTGTGGGGGCAGCAGTTGTCGGAGCCGCAGTTGTGTGAGCCGCAGTTGTCGGGGCCGCAGTTGTGGGAGCAACAGTTGTCGGGGCAGCTGTTGTGGGAGTCGCAGTTGTTGGGGAGGCTGTTGTGAGAGGCGCAGTTGTGGGAGCAACAGTTGTTGGGGCCGCAGTTGTGGGCGCAGCAGTTGTTGGGGCAGCAGTTGTGGGAGCTGCTGTTGTTGGAGCCGCAGATGTGAGAGCATTTGTTGTTGAGCCTGCAGTTGTGGTTGATCATTTAGTATGAGTAATATTAAGAATTTCCAAAAACCATATCAAATTAAATACCTCAGTAATTCATATATCATGTCATGTTCAACTTGAAATACTGTGTGAACATCCATATTGTCAACAAGAAGATAGATCCTAGTGTTTTTGTTGAAACTACCACCTTTTCTTGACCACGGACCATCAGGCCAAACCTTATATAAGTTGTCTGTCTTCTTCATAATTCAATACTGTCTTCAAATGCAGTGTCTAACTCAGAAATGGTTAAACTTGACAGAGGGTAATGAGTGCTTCATTGTTATATATGTGCTTTTTTAATGCAGCTTTAATTTGGAATGAATGTTTTTTGGGGTTAAATGTTAATCACAATCACATATAATGTTTTGCAATATCAAAATTCCAATGTAGCAATGCTATTAATACAATACTGCTCTAAAGTACAGATAACTTTTAACCATGTTTTTTTTTTTTTCTTTTTACTAACATTTAAAAAGTGAGACGGTGGCACCTGATTATTTCTGCTAGCCAGGATTTATGTGGATGCTCTTGTTTTTATTCTTCAACGTCCGTGACAGAAGACCATTCAGGCAGTAAATGTCATCTTGGAAGTTAATCAGCTACAAAACAGCATTTTAATTACAAAACTACTAATGTTATTCTCATGTTTGAAGACTATTCAGTCAAACTAAACAATATATAATTTTAACAGTTACCTTGTGCAGAGGATGCATGTAAATATCCAAACAAAAATATCCAACAAAGGATGTGTCTTTCCATGATGACTGAGACAAGTATTTTGTCTGTGATCGCATGTTGCGCTTAGTTTGTGAATTACTCCTCCCTCAGCTATGGAGGAGGAGACAAGGCATTGGAGACAGAGGCTACTTTCATACAACCTGAAAAACCAGGTAAGTCAGACACGCATGTTTACAAAATAGTACCCACTCCAAACTAAATCACTAATTACATCATATAATGACCTTACACCATGCTACATTAAGCTGGCAATCCAGTTTTTTTAAAAGAAAATGTTTTGATTAGTTTAACTGCTGTATTAATCAGTTTCTAGTGGGTCATGATTTGCATATTTGGGTTTTTGTTTGAATGTTTTTCATCAGTGGAATTACTCTTTTCACAAAGGATGACAATTCACATTCTAAGCAAGCCGAGTCCCTTATTAGGGGTCCAAATGGCGGAAACCCTATTGTTTGGTGCTGATGAACCTTCATTATTATTGCCATTATTAATTGTTGCTACTATTATTATTATTATTAATAATGATAGTATTAATAATAATGACAATGAAAGTATTAATAATAATAATAATGATAGTATTAATAATAATAATAATAATAATAATAATAATAATAGTAATGTATTTTTACAAAGCTTCTACATCAGAAATCTTGATTGGAAGTTGTGTGCAAATGCTGCTCAACAAATATGCCCTCAATCGTCCAGATGGTGGCACTGCCTCTCTCCATTCATAAACTATTTTGTTAATCTTGGTGGAAGTAATTTTATAAATTAAATCATGGCCTCATATCTCATCAAGTTAAACACACATATTTCATACTTTCTCTCTTTGTTTCCAGCTTTAGAAGTTATTCTCTCCTTTTCTGAGATTTCCTCTAGTTACCTTCCATCTTTGAACTTTTGGACTTTTTAACTAATTCCTAGTTGTTTACTTCATGACTGCGATTCTGTGTGTTCTGGTGAGGATTTTCCTACTGATTTTCTATTCAGAAATCCTTATATCCTTGTATTTTTGACAGAGTTTTTGATTACCTTTGATTTTTAATCACAGACTTAAGAATGAATGTAATCCTTTCAATTGTACATAATCCTTTTTGTCTTTTCAGTGTTTTATGGATATTGGTATGGATTCTCTCTCGATTGAAAGCCACTTTGCTTCTGCTCTGTCCTTCAGCCATATCCTACTGTAAATGTATTTGTTGCATTAAAATAGCTCTGCAGGTTAGGAATGGCTGACCACACATTTTTTTTGCTTTGGTTAATTTTCCTTTCATTGTTTTATAAAGAGTTCATTGTTAAGATATTCATCTGTTTAAAAGTATCACAGCCCATGTATTTCAGAGGGCTCGTCCTCTAATAGGAATAGCTTCTGCTATCAGTGTATGAATGTGTGTGTGAATGTTGACATGTATGTTTCAGCGCTTTGAGTGGTTGGACGGCTAGAAACAAACGCTATATAAATGCCATATCCATAACCGTTACAAACAAAACACACTGGTCCCTATTTATTATATTTGGCATTATTTGTTTTAACCTCACTGCTATTATTAATGAATTTTTCATATAGCAATATTGGTGTGTATGATGAACACTCAGTTAAATCCTTGCCTTCTTTAGGGATGACTGTGATTACTCATGAGAGTTCGGTGCTCAGGTTCCCAAATCTAATGCAAAATTAAAAACTTTGGTGTCAGTATTGCATTAAACCTGGAAAAATGTTTGTATATCCATAATTCCCTGGAGTCTTACCCTTTTTAAGTTTCTTTATTTGTCTTGATATTCCAACTATTGCTAACGTTTTTATGAGGGACACGTTCTGATGTGAGGAGGCTTCTTTTAGTTTGGTACCCCGTAGTAATGTTTTAATTTTTTTAAATGTAAATGATCTCTCTATTTCTTCTGATCAACCTTTTTAAGATTTTTTAAGTCTTTTTTTTTCAGATGTATTAGCTATTATTTGTCTTCTTGATACAGCTTCTGCTCCTTCCAATGAGGTGATCTCAGTGATTTCCCCTGTATTGTTCAATTCAAAGCAGTTGTTTAGGCTTTGTAGAACTTCATTTCACATTTAGGGTATTGGTTGCATGATCTGAAAAATTAATTGTTCCAATAGCAGATTGACTGATACATGAAATAAAAAAATGTAACACCTATCAATCTACTGTATGTAGAATGTCTACCTGGGTAATATGTATAATCTTTAGTTGTTGGATGTAGTGTTCTCCATACATCTATTAATCCTATCTTTGCACATGTACTCCTAAGTATTGAAGCTGCTTTTTCTGCCTTACATGTTCAAACTGTTGAGTCTACATTGGGGTTAAGGCTTCGGTTAAAGTCCCCACCAATGATAAGTGTTCCTTTCCCTTGTGTCATTATTAACTCTTTTACTTGAGTCATAAATTGAGGCAATAACTCTGGTGGATAGCATACATTCATCAGAGATGCTTCAGTTTTCTCTATTGTTCCCACAAGCAAAACAAATCTTCCTTCCTTATCCTGTATACAGTTTATCTTTTCAAAGGGAATCTGGGCTTTTATAATTGTTACAACTCCCCTTCTTGCTGAGCTATGAGGACGAAAACTCTTGTGCATTTCATGCAACTTTCATGTTCTTTTTGTGACACGTAGATTTCTTGGAGAAACAGTATATGTCCCTTCTTCAATTGCAAAAAGCTTTGTCTTTAACGAACAGGTAGCTAACCAATCAATGTTTAAAGCACCTACAAAGAATAGTTCTCGGTTTTCATCTCTAGATTTATCCAGCATTAAAAATTGAGTCTAAGTATGCTATATATGCAGTAGGTGGCCTATAGCAGCAACCCACAAGTATAGGTTTAGTTTGTGGCAGGTGAACCTGTAGCCACAGTGCCTTCATGTCACCATTAAATCAACTCATATATTTACTGGAACATTATTCTGGACATAAAAAGCTACGCCTCCCCCATATCTATTCCGGTCTTTCGTGAACAGTGTATATCCATCAACCGCTAGTTCTGTATTTTCAAATGAGGAACCTAAATGTGTCTCAGATATTGTAAGTATACGGATATTGTTTGGTCGCATCATACAACTTAATTCATAGATATTATTTCTTAAGCTACAAATGTCTGCATGAGCTATCAGCAGGCCTTTGCCTGGGATAGTGTGAGTGTTTGAGCCCATATTAAAATAACACCAACCAGTAAATAGTTAAATGGCAAGAGTAGGGCTTAAGGACCCAACTCACTCACAATATTGGTGGTTTTCTCACTGTGTCGGTTTCTTGTGAGAGGATGTGATATCAGTCTGTTGTGCCAGAGATAGGCAATTTCCCCTTTCTCATGCGCTGCGCTCACAGCTGGCATGAGATCCCTTCTCTTTGGCGGACAGCCTCCATAAAGTCCTCATTGATAAAGATGTTAGTTTCCTTTAGGTGCCCAGCATTCTGAAGAGCGGCTACTTTATCCTTGTGGGCCAGCTGTTTTACATTGGTTGATTTCAGGTCGTCCATTTCCTTCTGGGTGTATTGAATACTCGTTTTAAGATCTTTTGAGGTCCATTCGTTTGTTCGTAGAATCCAATATCATTTGAACAAAACATTTGAAGCTCTGCTCTTGATAAATAATCTCTGTGAACGGCTCCTTTTGTTGTTGTAGGAGTTTTCGCACCTGAGTTATAGTAACCATTTTGAGCGGTGACTTGGTGGTTAATAAGAAATGAAATGTTAGTATTTACACTTATGTTGATCGTTTAGTCCTGGATCCCAAACAACTGTCATGTAGTCCGTGAAAGTGCGCCAGTAGTAGTGGTTGTTGCTGGTGTAGTAGTAGTGGTTGGCGTTGTAGTGGTAGTTGTAGGGGGTTTTGTAGTTGCTGGTGTAGCAGGGGTTATTGGAGGTGTTGGTGTGGGGCTCATAGGTGTTGTAGTTGTGGTGGGTATTGTGGTGCTTGTTGGTATCGTAGTTTGAGGTGAGATAGTCCTGTTTGGAGTTGTTGTGGTGATGCTAAGGTGGTGTTGTAGTTGGTGGTGTATTAGTGGTGCTTGATATTGTTGTGGAGGTTGCAGATGCTGTGGTATTTGCTGGTGTCGTGGTTGTTGGAGGTGTTGTGGGGCTCAAAGGTGTTGTAGTTGTGGTGG